AAAAAAATTGTTTTCTTATGGGTCACCACGCTCAAAAAGTCAAAGAAAAAACTTGAATTAATATCGAAGTAAAAAAAACAGGATAAATAAAAAATAAATAATAGTTATAAGATAAAAAATGCTATGCAATATATGCTTTACCGCGGCAGTCCTCGAGTGCTACGGTTTAATTTTTATTCTTATCATTTACATAAATGTTAATATATAATATATGCAGAAAATAAATACTGTATAAAAAAATATATAATTGCATAAGTTGATAAAAAATTCTATGCAATAGCTTTATTTGTTATTGTTTTGAAAATATGCGGGTTTCCTCAAGATGTTTTACTTCACCGTTGAGCACGTGATAAACTAGCGACTAATATTAACAATTTCATTGGTGCAGGCACAGGGGATCGAACTCATGTTGATCGAGTGTATTGAATTAAAAGTGAGCGCCCGGAATGTGAGCTATCCAGGCATATAAGCAAAGCTAGTTAATTTGATTAATTTAGTGCGATATGTGCGCGTGGTAGCAAGCGGCTCTTCACCGACATTGCGATCATGCGACATTGATGAAATATCATCCGATGCGAAAAGAGTTCGGGTGAAATAGTCGTCGTTAAATTTCTTATGGTGAACTCATTTTTATTTTTCCTAACAATGCCAAATTCTCAAATTTACACTTCCTTTAATGTATTTGATCTCGTTCCGAACTTTTTAGCTCAAAATATTCAGAGTTTGTGGAGCTTAGCTGTTGCTTTGCTAACCTAAATATTTTCCGCTTCTTAAAGTTTATTCAACTTCCCTTATTCTACTTGTGCTCGGTTGAGAAGTTTTATTGCCGGTCAATTTTAAAAATTCAGTTTCTCTAGTTCGTTAACGTTTTTCTCGATTTAATTAATTTAAATTCAGAGTTGATCGAAGTCTGCGTCTTTAAACGCTGTTTTTAGGGTTTTGCACCCCAAGAGGTTAAACGGCACCCTATTACTAAGACTCAACAGTTTGTCTCACTATACGTCTGTCTGTCTGTCCGTCTGTCACCAGGTTGTATCTCATGAACCGTGATAGTTGGACAGTTAAAATTTTCACAGATGGTCTATTTCTGTTGCCGCTATAACAACAAATACTAAAAAACAGAATAAAAAAATGTTTAATGGGTGCTCCCATACAACAGAAATGATTTCTTGCTGCTTTTATAGATGCCTAGGGACCCGTCCCGGCTTCGCACGCGTGTAATGGTTTATACATATAAATGTTCCTCTGAATCACTCTATCTAGTAAAAAAACGCATTAAAATCCGTTGCGTAGTTTTAAAGGTCTAAGCATACATAGGGACAGACAGACGCAGGATGTATTTGTTTTATACTATGTTGTAATCATACGGAACCCTTGTGCGCGAGACCGACTTTTTACCTAACGTAGCCACGATTTAGTTTCCTCTCTGAGGGGTCTCGAATAAGTTGCTCGGACAAATTGGACAAGTTGCTTTACATATTGAACTTTAGTTAGTTAACTGTATTAAGCTCTTTTATGATATGAATACTAATATTAACCTAAAATAATCTTTATTGATCTAATATTTACAAGATTAAATCTATCTAAAATTACATATTATCTAATAAACCTAATCCACGCGGCATGGTGCCAAGAACGCTAGCTGCATTTCCTCGCTGAATAGTTATGCTCAACCTTTGCGCGAGAAAAGAACCAGCTCTCTTGTCACCAGCCGCGGCGTTAAGCCTAGGACATAAACTTTTAAAAAATTTGATGTGCGGGGACCCCACGGACCTAAAATTATTTATAAATTAAAACATGTAGAAAAAGTACGAAAAGATTGTCGCCGCTGTGGGAATCGAACCCACGTCTTCGGCATTCGCGGCCTGACGCTCTAGCCACTGAGCTAAACGGCTGATAGCCACTGCGACGAAAATCTTAACGGTTTCTTTCTACAGGCGCATCTATTGTTATATCCTTACCAGCATACAAACAATTTCGAATACCGTTTTACAACGATAATTCGAACGAGAGATGTCGCCATTGCTTTTTATAAATTTTAAAGTTTTTTATAGTGCTAATCTCTGCACTTAAGATTTGAAAACACTTGATTTGATTTATTTATAAATGCTGGTAATTGCAAAATATATAAGAGCAGGACAATGACAATATTAAAATTTACAACAGTTAATGTTTTAATGTTTATTGTATATTATCAACAATAATAATGTTTAAATAGATTTACAAAAGATTTTAATGATTAAGAAAAAACAGGTCTGTTTATTAAACCTGTTCATAAAATATATGTATTTGTATACCTAACTTCTTTTTTATTTCATTGCTTCCTATTATAGGTAATAAAAAAAGTGATAATACATACTTTTATTAAATCTCAAGACGCAAAAACCGACGTCAATTAGAATACTGCCGTTAGCAACAGCGTGAGTTACTCGCCAGGCTCTATGTAGAGTCGCCTCTTAATTTCAAATGCTGCAGCGCCTTCAAGAGCTTAATGCTTTCTGCATTGTGTGAACGCTTTTATTTATGCGCTCGGTTTACGTTAGCTGGAAATTGCTTTGTAAACAAGTTGAACTACTGCACCGTTCTGTAGACAGCTTGAACCGTTTTTACCTGTTCGAATTTCAAAATGAATTCATGAGTTTATGTCAAATAACACTTGCACTCTTTCACGATCGTCACTAAACACATTCTATCATAAGTTCCTGTGGTAAGGAGGTGGTGGTTGTGGATCATGGATTAACGATTTGAAGTCGTGGAGTCGAATATTTGTAACGCACGCCTAACATGTTTTTTAACTTAGTTTTTTTTTCTTACGCGAAAGGCTTTATTCTTGATGTAATACGCTTGCTAAATAGTTAAATGTTTTAGTCCTTTGATTGATCATATTGATATAAAAGTAATCATGACTTTAAATTTATTATTTTTTACTATTTAGACGTTAAATTTATTTCCACTGCATATACGAGTATGGCATTTTACCGTTCTGTTTGAAACGAAAACAATTTAAAGTTCGAAAGACTTCTTATACTCGAGCATCGTGTTGTGTATGCTGCTTCCGACTCATGTTTTCACAAACGTCTAACGTGCATTAAAGGCAACTTTAGAAATTCTATGTACACATTCTTAAGCAAGAGGAAAATAACTCGACCACGTGCATTAAGCAGAAGTGGACTGAAAGCGCTAAAATATATAGCCTCAGTTGGAGGGTATAAAACGCCGGTGTCCGGTCTCCAGCCAATCAGCTAAGTGGGTGCTTTCAAGATTGAGGGCAAGCGCAGATTACTTGCGGGTAGTGGGTAGTTTTCCATCCGACTTTAATTATTTTCGGTGATATGCTTAAAACACAATAAAACTTTCAAAAGACTTTTTGCAAATGTCGGTAAAATGTAAAACTCGATGTTTTTTAACTTTTTGTAGAGGCATGTGTAAACTATTACTATTAAAACTATTAAACTCTAGTCAATGAGTGCTTTTTAGGTCAAAATTTTTTCGCCTTCTCCGAAAATTATGATTGAGGTGTCAGATTCGGAAGGACATGTAGATAGTTTTTGAGAAAATGCTAAGGCCGCTCGCGAAAATTGCAATAGTTATAAACTATTAAGTGAATAAAAGGGGGTTTGATTTTTCGCCAATATCTCAAAAACTATTCAAGATAATTAAAATTTGAAAAAAGATTCAAAAAGAGGAATAATATTCGGAGAAGGCGAAAAAATGATGACCCAAAAAGTACTAATTGACTAGACTATATCAGCTGTCAGATTTATTAATCAAATTATTTCTGAACTGTAAAGCTGTATGGACGGTTTTTGTAAGCTGCATTAGGGATTTTAATATTAGTCAAAAATTCGTGTCTCGTGCAGTTTAGGGCTACGACTGTGTTTCTAGAATGTTTTTAAAATTATGCATAACCTATGTTTATGTATGTTCCAGACAGACGCCTTACAGTCGCGACTAGCTTTCTATCTTACGTATAATTTTACATGGCATATAAGACTTTTTTAACTTGTCTTCAAAATTGTTTATTGTTTATGTGAGCAGTTATAGAGAATTACTATTGTATATGTGAGGGTTTTCTTAAGATTTTTAGAACTAGCTGATTAACAGCAGTATCGACCACCATAGATAGTATAATTACTTAACTTTTCAGTCATACAAAGACATAATAATGTATTTAAGAATAAAATATATCATATTCTAATTTATTTTACACTCAATAGATGGAATTATTAAAGACTTTCTTATTTTTTTAATGAAACTTTTATATGAAAACATTTACTTTATTTCACTTGTCTATTTGAAATTAACTGCAAACATAAGCTCTGAGTGAAATGTAAATGTGATATACGTACATATGAAGGATAATTTCTTTATGGAAGATCCAAGAAGAAATTATCGTATTCAGTGTTTTAACTTGTCGTTTGCAGCAGGTATAAAAATGTAAATTAATGAATATTTTAAATTTGTATTATAGCTTGTTTTTAGGACTGTTACTTTAAGGATTGGATGGAGCTAGTGAACATGTAAAAAAATCCAAGCATATACAGAAGTATGCTAGTACATTTAGACACACACTGTTCATCCTAAGAGGTTCAATTTCGTGTATTAACTTTTTATTTATTTTATTTAATGTGGGAAAAGTATGTATTATAGGTGCAGTTATTTTTTCCCTCAAAAGCGAAAAATTATTTTGTTCATAGCATTAAACTTTAAATCGAACACCCTTGATGTAATACAATATAACTGCCATTAGCCTATCAATGTATACGTTTTATGCAACAAGGTTTAACAGTAAAATGTATCTGCAATGCAGTTTTAACCTCTCCGCATAGGCTCGCATAAATTTCGTGAAGGTGTGTCGATATAATATAAGATATTGATAAACAATAATTTACGCTAAAAATTATGAGGTTTCAAAAAGTGTTTAGCATTAGACCTCTTGAGAGTCCACTACTTAAAAGCAGATAATGGGGAGAAAAAAAAAATAAGAGACTTTACTGACAATGATGTAAGTAAACACACACGTGTATATATATATATTCAAGGTTTACTTTTGATGTTCGCTACAACACAACAATGTTGTGCTTATTTATTAATATAAATACAGACATAATTCATTGGTTCGTTCGCAACTGTTTATAATATCGTCGTATTACATGTTTGTATTTGACAACAATATAATACACAATAATATATTACTAATATAGCAAACATTCAGTTGTTTGTGTGTGTAGAGCTGGGTCAAGGGAATTTTTTGATATGACCTGTATTAATGTAAACATTTAAAATATCTGCTATATAAAATGCACTGATTTACTAAGGTACTTTTTAAATAATCAACTTTTAATTTACATTGTTCATTCGAAAATTCCACACATTCCAAAATTCCCGGAGCGCCTATTAATAAAGTTTCCCTGGCGGGCATTTCAGCGCGATGAAAGTTTCTGTAATATCCGAAGCAGCTAGCGTGTTAACTAATTAGAACACTATTAAAATTCAAGCATAATTTACTTCTCGTCCCATAGGCTCAATAGAATGTAGTAAAGAAGGAATTAATAAGTATTTTTACATACTAACGAGCAGATTTTTTTAAAAACATGTACAACTAAATAAATATAAATATTTGGGAAAATATATTAAACAGTGAAAATAAGTAATTATACCAGTTTATTTTTGTGCAAAGTAAACTACGGTGATTTGGTAAAAGTATTTATATTTCTACGTTCTTAGTTCGATAAAACAAAGTAAAACTAATACTAGGTAATTGATAAGACGTATACCTAAACAGTTTTTTTTTGTAAATTAACACATCTTATAGATAAATAAATACACTGATACAAAAAAGTGAGAAAAAAACTTCAAAATGTTTTTGCTGTGGCTTTCGAATCCGCTCAAGAGTTAGCTCGGCTGTTATACTCTCCGCTCATTGGGTGGTCTTCTGAAAGCTTTGTACAAATAATTGTGAGTTTCTACGACGGCCAATGAGTTTTATTTTTATTTTCTAATTGCTTACGATTGCAACGTGAATAATTTTCTTTCTCTTATTTGTATCTGGTGGACGGCAACATGCTTGTCAACTTAAGCTATGGGATTTTATAGGTTCACAAGATAATAGGTTTGCAACTAAGTGATTGCATTTCAGTTATAGAAGTTTCTCACTCCCATTTTTATGATATCCGTTAAATGTTATGACCTTTTTCTTCTTCTTATATGTTAGCTGTTATCCTTACCTAGCTCTACAAGTTGATTGCGTAGATTTTTCTTATTTTTTTTTACCTCAATGTTAATTTTTCGCCATATTTTGCTAAATTGTCAATTCTGGAAATCTGATGTTACACCCACCATATAGCCCTGATCTCGCACCATCGGATTACCACAAATTTCGTTTTATATCGACCTGATGATGACGCTATAAAAACTCAATTAACTCAATTTTTAGCGGAAATTGATCATACTTTCTCCGAGCGTGGAATTTTAAAGTTGTTTGCAAAAGGTCATCGAATAAAATGGAAAACACATTATAGATAAAACTGCATTCCATTTCCAAGCCGTTTTATTTAATTTAATAAATCCGCAATTGCTTAGTTGCTAACCATATAATTCTTTTTTTATTTTAATGTTTAAATAACAATACATTCCTATAAAAAGATATGAACGTGTTATAACCGTTAATATTGTACGTACAAAGGATTTATTAGGGGTGAATATATTGTAATCATTGCACGTGTTATTAGTTCACGAAATCTGTTACTGACCGGGAATTTGTTAAATTTTAACGCAGGTGAACTCTGCAGAGGATGTGAAGTAGTTGGCCACGGGCAAGCAGCAAACCGGCCGCGGACAACGGACATGACTCCTCGGAGATAGTGCCAGGTAAGACATTTAATAAGTGCCGTTTGAAAAAATATTTGAAAAAGGTTGTCAAAGCATCTGCATACCCTCCGGTGTCCATGGGCGTCGAAGTACCGTTTGAGAACCCAATTTTTTAAAAAGGTTGTCAATGCATCTTCAAACGCTCGGGTATAGCAGGTGTCCATGGGCGGCGGTATTCCTTTAACATCAGGTGAACCGCCTGTTCGCTTGGCAACTTTTCACATAAAAAATATGGATGAAGGAACTAAGTTTGAACTGTTAACCTTGGTTCCTTCATCAATATTGTTTTTTTTATTTTTTAATCATTGGACAGAGCCACGCAACAGTTTTTGCTGTCAGTCAGTTTGTTGTTCAGTGTGAGTCAGTTTCTGCTGAAGGTAGCTGGGGCCCACTTTATTCTAAGATGGCAAAGCATCTGCAACCCTGCAGGTTTTGCAAATGTCAATAGGCGGCGGTGATTGCTTAACATCAAGTGAACCGCCAGACCGCTAGCTCACATAAAATAGGGTGCTTGCTGAGTTAAGTGAGCATTTTAAAACAGCACTATGAAAGATTAGCGACTAATAATGACTATCTGGATATGATAAATAAATGACTTTTATCACATATTGGTTAGGTTAGAGGTTAACATAACTATAAGCTTAGGAAAAATATGTTTGCATAATATTAATCTGTTACATAGTGTTATTAATAGAAGTAAGTTTTCATAAAGGTAAAAAGGTGATGAAATCCCTCGAAGCACAAAGTCACAATTGTCTAGTGTCTTATGGTTTTATATTGATTAAATGCTCGGGAAGAAAAGAAAAGGAGATAAATGTCAACGTATTGATTCGTACTCCGTTTATATTACACAGTATGTAAATTCACATTAAAACAGAACGATAGTCGAAGCAAGACTACACTAAGTTCATAATGCCGTGTCGTTAAACAACTGACCTATTGACAAATAAATATTCGAACATTCTGCCTTCAGCCTTCTCCCAATGTCGCTAATCTAAAACTTTCAGGATATAGAAATTTATTGCTTTCTAAAGCCTAGTAACGTTTTCAACCAAACATCTATCTTCTACGGCTCGTATTTCGAATTCAATTAATTATAGAAACACATATGTTATGTTACTTCTACCGATTGGTATATATAATAACTAGGTAATTTGAGCTGCAACTTAGTAAGTTACTGTACAAAATACCAAATCAATATCCAACTTCATGAGAAAGGCGTGCTTGGCGATATTGCTAATATTAAACTTCAAGCTTGTCATTAAGCAAAACTACTACACTACGAATATGTTCACCGTACCAGATAGTCTCAATAACTAAACTATATGCACCGATATGAGATTTTCTCTAAGATTAATTGGTAGTTCTACAAAACTTAATGGTGTTTCGGCCGTTTTGATTTTTTTGTGTCGTAATCGCTTCGTATTTTTTTTTGTTGTAAACTTTTGCGTATATACTGACTTAGTCACTGGTAATATTAGTGCCGAATGATAATATTTCGTATCAACTATTATGACAGCATCGACGGCGCATTGATTTATGCCTTGCCGGCCCCTATTGTGTTCCATATTGTAGGTTCGATCCCCACAAGAAACACTTTTTGTGTTTCATAAATAAAAGTATATTTTGTGTCCGTGAGTTTCCACGTTTGTGTCAAAACTCCGGTGGCACAGAATTTCTTTCCAAGGTGTAATTTATAAACATTAAAACAAAAGTGTTTTACCCTACCTCGTAGTGTCTTTGTGGAGAAGATACTGAGTAATGACTTATATGACGGTGTTTGATCTCCACCTCAGTGAGAAAACATTTGTATTGTACAAAGCGTATCATAAAGAATACAATACTTATACTAAAAATACGAATGTGCTAAAAAGAATTCCGATAATTTGCGACTTACTACTAAATACCCAATTGGTTTTATCACGAGGAAATGCACCGAACGGAGCGCCGTTCCAACGATACCCTGGAAATAACCGATGTTTTCCTGCGCACATAACGAGTTTTAAAGTACGCCACGACGTTTAAAAAGTGCTACGTCATAATGAAGATACCCTCAATGCGGCCGCCGCGCTTCACTAGTGCGGTGCCCGTAAGTGGCGGGAAAAATATAATTAAGTCTTTCGTATGTGTGAGCACGACGAAGGGTGTGCGGTGACTTTATGAGCGGTGGCTTTAGTGATGTGCGGCAGAATGAAAGTGGTCATCGAAATGTGTATAGTTTTCGGCAAATAAGCTAAACGTTGCTTATACGGCCGTTAAATCGACAGCTTTGATAACAAATATCTTGCTTTTGTGTATTTAATACATGAAGTCATTATTTTAAATTATTAAAAGATTTATAGATCTGCCTTTCCTTAACAAATCTATTGGTAATTAATAAAAGTCATTAGCGTGTTGGATTTAATTGTCCTACAAAAGGTCGATCGATGTCGTGTTCTATTCATTCTTTTAGTATTTTACAATCACAAAGCCTCAGCCAGAATCTCTGAATCTTACAAAGGATTTTTGCCTTTTTCATGAATGAAAAATTTTTAGGTCAGTTGAGCGTTATCGCTAGACAACCACTGCCATTAGTTTATGCATTTAGATGCGGAGTTCTTGTTGATTGTAAAGGAATTCCTTTATCATTAAACGTTATTGATGACAAGTTAAGGCAATTGCTTAAGCTGACTTTGAATCTTTTACAAATTTTAATTATCATTAAGTAAAATTAAAAGGAGGAGACCTCTAATTAACATTGCATAATCAAGATGAGATTGAATAAATAATTATTATAGTAGACATAGAAGTACTTATTAGAGGCTGTCACTATTTGAAAAGCTATCTTTCTATAGACAAATTTATTGTTTATATCGATATTCATTTTCAACGTTTAATAATTTCTAAATGGAATATTCTTGAAGTCCCAAGCGTTCAGTTTCAGCGATACTCACTCACCATTTTATTCAGATACTTCACGTTCCTTCGCTAAGGTTGGGTGATATTTTCAAATTAAATATGTAATTTGTCGCTGGCAGTTCTTATAGGCGACAGATTCTATGCCCGTCCATTTAGGGAAGTAATGAGTTCGGTAAAAAAATAAATCAACTATTTCTTTCTTTAATCAAAGTAAGTTGATGTGATGAGTATAAATATCAGCCTATAGGTTCTACTGCTGGGCAAAGGCCTTCTGTGTACAGTGGGTATTAGGGCAGGTCATGTAAGAAATATGATTAAACAAGAAATATCATAAAATAACGATATAAAAAACGAAAAAAGGTTTTTAAATACAAATACTAATATCTTTAATCAATATAAAAACATTACACTTCTTGATTGTCAAAACACTACTACTGGTAGTCTAACATATCATAAACTATATCATGAACAAAAAATTAAAACTATCTATAACAAGAGCAAATAACATATGAAAATATCATTCGAGCAGAAAATCAATAGTTTGACGATAAATAAGATATTTTCTAAAGGGTAAGACAGTAATGGCCCAAAGTTGAGAACCTGTCGCGGTCAAACAGTAATTTAAATTTCGGTCAGCACACCACGTTGACTACTGTTCTCGTTAAACAACAGTGGAATTGCCCTGGGAGGGTGGGTCGAATGTGAATTGATTATAAAGTAATGGAAGTGATCCGTTCCCCGATATAAATGATAGCGAGGTCGACCTACTCGAGGTTCTGACGCCCTGGTCGCTTCAGCCTCCCCTCCGACATAATAGGCTCCCGCGGGATATAAAATCGGTCATAAATTTCGCTTTGGACGCCCGCTGCCGCGAAGACAGCGATATTGCCGCCGTAATTTGTGGAACACTTAACGTCGACCTTTCGCATTCCTGCGCTCCCGGTATATTTTATTCCGCAGTGATCATTACTATTGAATTATTACGTTGACAGTTTGATTTGGAAAGTTAACTTTTTCAGGTAAAACATGGGAACTGTGTCTGATCTCTTCCACGCTAGGTCCTCTGTAACACCAGTCGGGTTGTATGTGCGTTGGCAACTTTAAAGAGGTTCCCTCAGTTAGTACATTCACGAAAAATTCAGTTTTCTAGAGAGAGAGAGAGAGACAGGGATAGGATTCAAGTGAGACCACTCTATTATAAATTTTTGAATTGACGATAGAATATATAGATAAAGCAGGAAGCTAGGGCAAATCACATTATACGGTCTACCTATTCCTTGGGAAAAGAATGTCTAGGAGTTACTTACCACATCTGAATGATTATCGTCACTCATACTAAAAGCAAACGAGACAGAGCCTCGTTCATTTCAGGTCGCCAATATAACTCAGCTTACTAGTAATACCTTAAGGCATACACTTTGATCAAAAGAGAAACTAGGATCAAAAGAGGAGGGCCGTACCAAGCTTGTGGTTCCACTCTACTCCACGAGTTCTGCGTTCGATGCAGATTTAATAGCCCACGGATTGAAAGCAAAAACATTAACTAAAGTAAAAAAGTAACAAGTGAACCCATTGTAACGTGTGACAAGTGACCTTTATTGTTTTAGCACAAGGCCGCAAGAAAAGCAGCATGACGGAGCCATCACTGTCGCATTGCCACTCAGAGTCTGCTTTTGAATTGCAAATGGCCACTGCCGTATCTTTAGCGTCTGACCTTCCAGCACGCGACTCCGAGATATCGCGCACATCGCCGCAGTTTCAAATTTAGAATTGGAGTGTTTCTTTAATCGCTTGCCAGTGGCCAGATTAAAATGGGATTCCAATTAAAATAAAGAGTTCAATTATTCGCTCCCGCGACCAACGTTTTCTTCGAGCTCTCCACGATGTTGTTGCTGCGATTAATATCTGACCCAATTTAGCGTTGAAACGTGAAAATGATTTTGATTTTTCCGTCTGCATTTTCGTGAGCACGGAATTTATTATTGTTATCCAATGCTTAACTAAGAACTAAAGAATGAAGTTTTCAAAATTAGTTAACTTTAACCTGAGTAAATTTTTTTTTGACGATAAAGACAAAAAATGACAGTGTGAGTTTGTTGTAA